TATAAATATATAATATATTATATATTATATATACACACACACACACATACACATACTTTTTTTTCACTTAGGTATTCCAGCCCAAATACCTGCTTCTTCATTGATGCCAGCCCCAGCAACGGGACCTGACTCTATTGTATCACAGGCTCAGGTAACATCTGCTCCAGTTGCTGGAGTTCCTGTGTCACTACAAGCAGTTAACCAGCCTTTAATGCCTTTGCCTCAGACGCTGAATCCTTACCAGGATCCGCTATACCCTGGATTCCCTTTTAGTGAAAAGGGAGAAAGAGCTGTTGCACCCTCTTACTCCCTGTGCAATACTGGGGAAGACTTACCTAAAGGTGAGAAGCTAGAAGGAGGTCGGGATTTTGTACCATTTTTCCTGATGGGTTTTTATTTTCTTAAAATGTAGATAAAGACAACCCCTTTGGTCCTGTCGTTAGTCCGTGTTGACAGACCCAATTGTTGTCATTCCGTGATTTAGGTGCAGAAGGGAATACTGAATAGAATTGTAACTTTAGTTTGCATTGCTAACATTATTTTAAGTGGTTACACCTGGAAATCTGGTAGGATTATTTTGTCGGTTCATAGCTTGACCTACCATAACTTGAGTTTTTGTGAATGTAATGGATTTTCTTTAGAGAACTGCTTCCTTTGGGGTTTTGTCTTGTAATCAAAAGCTTGGAAGTTGTTGAGCATTTCCTTACTGGTCTGGGAAAATACAACTTTTGGCATAGTACAATATGGACTATGCCCATAAAGAACATATGTCGTGTCTGACTGCACAGTGATGTTTGTTTACTGAACTGTTTCTTTAAAAACTCAGTTCCGCAGACTGTTAGAACTGAAATTTAAACTGCATTTTTGTTCTAGGTATCTCACTGTGGCAAAAAACCCACCCAAATCAATCAAAGATGTGCAGACAGCAACTTAATACCAGTGTGTCTCTACTGAAATGGAACTTTATGCAGGGACTAATTTTTTGGCTCACATCAAGTGTAATATTTTAGGTCCTCACAGATCTTTTTCTGTTTGTTTTTCCTAGATAAGAATATTCTTAGATTTTTCTTCAACCTTGGTGTGAAGGTAACTCTTCAAACTTACTTATGTTTTTATGTTTGTTATACCATAAAATTTGCTTGCATTTGGTGTACTTAAAGTGCAGAAGTTTGGTTGCTGCAGATGTTTATCTTTAAATTTGAAATACTTTATTATTTTTGTCTTGTGTTAACTGGGATCCTAGCAGTGGTCCACGTTGCATTTCAAGTCAACAGGAATATGTTTTATCTCAACAGCAATAGTGAAAACTGTTGACTTGTAGCTGTGGCTGTACAGTCAATAGATTGTGCTTTACAAATCCACGGGTAAACCGTTGTCAGTTTGAAGATGCATTCTTTCGGAAGCATCACATTGTAGAAGAGGAAAGGCTCTCCGACTTAGGCCATGCCTGTGGACAGCCATTGCAGTACTCATACCCAGTGTGTCTTGCCCTGTGGACACTCCCTTAAGTAGCCTGCATGTCTGTACTTTCTGCTCAGGTTAAGGATAACAGGATTTTAAACTTATAAGTAATTATAATAGTGGTTGATGTGTATATGGGGTGCAGATCTGTGTGTGTGCTTGGGGAAGAGGCTCATCCAAAATGGCAACGTGTTCTATTTTGTGGTAAAGACTAGTTGTTTAGTTTCTCCCTTCTGCATGTAAAAACGTTCCTTTTTTACCTTCTCTACTTTGGTGGCTGTGCATGGAAAGAGGGAATGTTCAGCACAGCCTAGTAAATTTAGGATAACTGTGCCTAATACAGGTGTCTCTGCTTGACAGAAAATCCGTAAGTCATTAGTGAGTTGCAGTGGAATATATTGAAACAGTGTTTTGCTTCCTAAGCCTACACATTATGTTTGGGCCTCTCGGTGGTGGTACTTTGTATTAACTTTGTATTATTTAAGATGATCTTAGTGCTTCAGCACCATCTGCTGGTCAGTGCCGTGTCCTGGCAGTTGTGCTCCTTGGCTGGTGACTGGACACTGCAGTGGGAGACCTGGGAACTCCTTCTTGCATTACCCCAGCCCCTGCTTTGGTCCTGGGTGGTGCTGCGCTGTTTCCCTCACTCTTTCACCTGCTTGCTCCAGGCGAAGCAACTAGTTCCTGTTGAGAGGAGGGCTGGGGAGGCCTCTCGGGACAGTTTTTTCCAGGGATTGTTTATACAGATGGTACCAACGACTGTGCCAGGTTTTGGGCCCTGCTTTCTACCTACTCTGGTGTTTTCCTAGATAGCTCTGTGCCTCCAGCAGCCCTGCGTGGTATTCTATACGGCCTGAAATATGTCTGTTTGGCACATTGTATTATAAAAATGCCAGTCAGAGAAGGACCTGGGGGTGTTGATTGACAGCCGGCTGAACAGGAGCCAGCAGTGTGCCCAGGTGGCCAATGGCATCCTGGCTTGTGTCAGCAATAGCGTGGCCAGCAGGGACAGGGAAGGGATCTGACCCCTGTCCTCGGCACTGGTGAGGCTGCACCTTGATTCCTGTGTTCAGTTTTGGGCCCCTCGCTACAAAAAGGCCATTGAATTACTTGAGTGTGTCCAGAGAAGGGCAACGGAGCTGGTGCAGGGTCTGGAGCATAGGTCGTATGTGGAGCGGCTGAGGGAACTGGGGGTTTTAGTCTGGAGAAGAGGAGGCTGAGGGGAGACCTCATCGCCCTCTACAGCTCCCTGAAAGGAGGGTGCAGAGAGGGGGGATGAGCCTCTTGGACAAAGTAACAAGCGATAGGACAAGAGGTAAGGGCCTCAAGCTGCACCAGGGCAGGGTCAGACTGGCTCTGAAGAACTATTTCTTTTCAGAAGGGGTTGCTGGGCATTGGAATGGGCTGCCTAGGGCAGGGGGGGAGGGGTTGAAGAGTCGGGTTGACCCAGCACTGAGGGATCTGGTGGAGTTGGGAACTGTCAGTGTGAGGTTAATGGTTAGACTGGAGGATCTTCAAGGTCTTTTCCAACATAGATGATTCTGTGAAAAACATCCTACAGTGTTGCTATGTATCAAAGACAAAGTTTGCATTTATAAACTCTTTAACTCTGAGCAATGTAACCATAAGCTGCTGTGTGCTAGTTAGTTAAGGAACCTAGAGGAAAGGGAAGGGGTTGCTGCCTGAGGTGAATGACTTCAGTATTGTGAACGTTGTGCTAAACAGAAAAAGTTGCTGCAGAAGATGTGTGACTCCCACCAGTAGCTGGAAGGTGCATTGTGTATCCAAGGGAAACCTCTGCCCCTACTTCCTGAAAGGGTTTCTAAAGAAAGCTGATCTGTGGGTTGGGTTGTATGTGTATATATATATATATATATGGCAATTTCAATCTTTACGAATTGTCTTCGGGCAAATGGTCTAATGTTGAGTCTTGGTGTAGTCTTTTTTTTTTTTTTAAAGTGAAAATATGTGCTGCTGCTTGTTTTTTGATTGTTACCCCTTAGAATTTTGAAAAGTGACCTCGTAGGGCAAATTGCTGATTAATAATTGTGATTGGAAAATGAATTTGAAATGCGTGTCTTCAAATGCATAGGTAAAGCTTGACTTAATAGCATCCATCATGTAGTTAAATTAACTATATAGAAATGGTGACCAAGTTTTCTTACTAGTCATACCTGTTGCCTGTTGCAACTGTGTTTGGAAGGAAAACCAAAACTGAGAACATATCCTGCAGTCCTAGATATTATTTGCAATTGAGAGCAGTCACTGTAAATAAAACTAACCTTTACTTCCTGTAATTCTCTGTTTCAAAATGGTAAATGACCTGTGTTCTATTACATCTGTCTGAACTTAAAAAGACCAAATGCTTCTTTGTTTTTCTTTTTTTGCTGTCTTGCAGGCATACAGTTGTCCCATGTGGGCGCCCCATTCTTACTTGTACCCCCTGCACCAGGCCTATTTAGCTGCTTGTAGAATGTACCCAAATGTGTCACTGCCTGTGTATCCGCACAACCCCTGGTTCCAGGAGGCTCCACTGGCTCAGAATGAAAACGAAACTGCACGGACAAACAGGCACTTTCCTGTCCAGAGTGAGGCCAGATCCAATGGCCAAATTCCCCCGGGTGACGGTCGATCTATGTCGCTGCCTCTGATTATACCAACAGCTCCGGTGTCAGAAAGCCAAGGACAGGTCTGCGTGGAATCGGAGAATCCGGCGCAAGCTCTTCATGCAAACTACGAGGAGTCCCTGAGAGGGAAAAACGTGTTCCCCCAGCCACCCTTTGGACACAACCACTTTCTAGGAGCCGTTCCAATAGCGCCTCCGTTCTTCCCTCACTTTTGGTATGGGTACCCCATTCAGGGTTTCATTGAAAATTCAGTAGCGAGGCCTAATGTTGTCATGTCACCCGAGGACAAAGAGGCAACAGCGGGCACCTCTGTGAACGTATACGTGGCTAAAGAATGCAGCCCTCCGGCTCCTGTGGCGAGCTCTGCAGAACAGCTTCAGAAGACCAACGGTGGCTCAAACACTGTAGCACTCCCTGGGGCTGGTGCGAGCAGTGAATGCAGTGCCCCAAAAGAAACTTCAGCTCGGGCACCTGTGTCGGAACAAATGGGTCCTTCAGCCTCTCCTGCTAAGCAAAAACCAGCTGGGCAGCAAACTCGCTCTCTGCAAATGCAGGGGACCGAGAGGCAGACGGCGGCGCCCAACACTCCGCTGCTGTCGGCGGAACCACTGAAAAATGAACTGAGAAATAGCGTTCCTGGTCGTAAGGAGAAGCCTGAGAAAGGCCGAGATTGTAAGGCTGCTGGCAATGTGCAGATAGAAAGCCGGGCCCAGAGAACCAGGGAGGAGAGCTCTGAAGACGAGAGCGAAGTTTCCGATATGCTGCGAAGTGGTAGATCCAAGCAGTTTTATAACCAGACTTATGGAGGAGGCAGGAGGCCTCGACTCGAGTGGGGTTACTCCAGCAGGGGAGGAGGGTACCAGTTCCAAAGGAACGAGGAGGCCTGGAAGGGAGCGCCCAGCAGAGCCAGAGACGACGGCTACCAGTATCAGCGGAACTTCAGAGGGAGGCCCTACAGGAATGACAGGAGGAGGGCAGCACTGGGAGAGAATCAGAGGGGGCATCAAGCGTAGAATGAATGGATAATTGAACATTTCAAAACACAAAAAGTAATTTTGAAGTAGCAGTTTAAAATCTTTCTTTTGAGTAAAGTTCAAGGATACTTTCAACTTTTGGCGAGTGAAGACTAGGAAGATGTGAACTCCTACCGTTTGGTTTTTTTTTGGGATTATAGTTTGTTTGGCTTAGCATTTTTTCCTCAATGTCAAATTAGAAAAAAACAACATAGGTTTAGTGTTTGATAATTCCCACCCCCCTTTCAGTGGAAAGATCCAAGGTTAAGATGTGAGAATTGCTTTTGCCTGAAGCAAAAGCTTTGATCCTTACTATAGACAAAAATGAAAGTAAATAAAGTAACTTGTCAAAAA